GGGGGGGAATGTGGTGGTTTTGCCCTGTATCCCACTTGTTTTCAAATCTAAATTCTAACTTGGGGGAAAAAAAACCTATATGGTAAAACGAAAAGCCAGCTGTAAATTGCATATATATCATTAATCTGCTTTATTTTCATGACTGAAAAATTGTGAAATTTCGAATGTTTTGTATAATTGGGAAAGTGTTATTCACAAGTGGGTTGGTGGAGGTCAAGACAAGCTGGAAAGAATGGTCTGAAGAGCACAGGGGAGCAACAAGAATGGAAACCCTGAGAACTCTCCAGGGCCATATTGGGTAGGGGTGATGAGAGTGGGGGCCCAAAAGATCCAAAGTTGCCAGACAGTTGGGAAAGGCTGCACATAGTTCCACCTCCATTCTTTGTCAGGGTGGATTTAAATTTAAATTAAATGTATTTAAAACATGAACCTACATTTTCTAAAAAAGGAATTTTTGTTATGATTTTTTTAAAAAATATATTAATTGCGATTTAAATTAATTTGAATTTTAAACAATCATCGGTTTTTATCCACCCTACTTCTTGTTCTTTCTTTTTTTTGCAAGCAAAATGCTCTAAGGAAATATCAGCTGTTCCCCAACTGCTCAAGCTAGTGAGAAAGTTTAGAAAACAGAGATCCCTTGCAGCATTCCTACGGGTGAATAGAGAAGGTGCAAAGGACTGGAAGGCAGGTGAGAATTCCTTTTACATACGTTTTGTTGCGGATATCAATGGCACAGTAGCAACGAATGACTGAAGACAGCAAGGTCCAGATGCCAAAGGTCCGAGCCTGGAGACCATTTACTATACAGAAAAAGCAAATAAAGAATTAATGCTCCTTTTTCCCTGACATGCTCCAGGGGATTGAAAACAAAACAGCCAACATTATAATGGCATAGTACAAAATGCTGGTAAGGCCACATCTGGAGTATTGCATACAGTTGTGGTCACCGTACCTAAAAAAAGACATCATGGAGCTAGAAAAGGTGCAGAAGAGAGCAACTAAAATGATGACCAGGCTGGGGCATGACTGGGCTGGGGCACTTCCCTCTCTTTAGCTTGGAGAAAAGGCACCTGGCTCTCACATGACTGAGATGTATAAAATTATGCAGGGGATAGATAAAGTGGATTGAGGGAAGCTCTTTTCCCTCTCACACAATGCCAGAACCAGGGGACATCCACTCAGATTGAGTGTTGGGAGAGTGAGAACAGACGAGAGAAAAGATTTCTTGACCCAGCGTGTTGTTAGTCTATGGAACTCCTTGCCACAGGATGTGGGGATGGCATCGGGCCTAGATGCCTTTAACAGGGGATTGGACACATTTCTGGAGAAAAAGTCCTTTGCAGGTTACAAGCCATGATGGGGATATATAATCTCCAGGCTTAAAAGGAAAATACCTCAACATGCCAGATGCAAGGCAGGGGTATCAGGAGACAGGAATCTAGTAGTCTTTTGTGCTCCCAGAGGCATCTGGTGGGGCCACTGTGAGATACAGGGAACTGGACTAGATGGGCCCTTGGCCTGATCCAGCAGGGCTCTTCTTATCTTCTTATGCAGGTAGAGTTTAGCAGTAGGCATGGATGGGAAACATCCTACAAGGTGGGGCTGAATAGTATCCGAGTGGTAGTGTTACTGGTAGTACTCAAAGGGGTGATGCTACTACAGGTATTACGTTTTAAATGTGCTAAGCTAAAGGTAGCTGATCCTGGTCCTGCTAATACAGTACATAGCTTATTGGAGCAGCACATAAAACATAAAGTCAATTAATAATTAAAACACATTGACCAGCTGAAATAACAGCAGGCCCCACATAAGCAACACCATCATTCAATAAATAAATTTTAGTAACAGAGTCAGACAGTTATTTTAAGAGGACTGCTTTCACTTGCTGCTTCAAGACAGATACATTTATACAAATTTGCATGCGTCCTACTTTTCCCCCAATTCAGAAATATAAGGCAGTTTGCAAAATGGCAGCAGGTGGAGAACAACAGATTTGTAAATGAAACAATAAAAATTCTATAAACATAGTACTATTAAAAGGTCAGTGAACTTAAAATCATTTAAAAAGCAAAAATAGCAAAAACACACACACACACACAAACAAGTTTTAAAGAAGGAAAACAAAGGATCCTCTTTTAAAAATTACCTCTGGGGACTGATCCGTGACCAAAGCTTGACGGAAGAGAAAGGCCTTTGAGGCAGGTAAAAAGACAACAGGGAGAGGGCCAACCTAACTCTCATGTAGAAAAGAATTCCTCAAATTCTGTCTAACCCTCACTAGACTTGCCTGTGAAAGTGATGGGACTGACAGCAGGATCTCCTCGAGAGCTTTTAAAACCAGGACAGATGGGGAGATGTGATTTTTTCAAAAAAACATAAAGATGGCGGAGGGAATTCCAGAACAAGGGTGCCAACACAAGGAAAGCGCCTGTATGCATTGCTATGAGTGTGACTCTGAGGCAGAGACACACTCAATGGAGCAATGAAGGCTTAATCGAGAGACAGATAAGATTATAAAAAGCGTTATGTTGTAACAAAACAAAGGTCTGCTTAGTTCAGCATTCTTTTCACATAATACAGAAATCCCATAAGCAAGATGTATAACAGCATCCTCCCACTCACGTTTTTCCACAACTAGAAGCATGCTGCCTCCATTATTGGGGCAGGGGTAAACTGTATTTCCAGTCACCATGTATATGAGTGATTGCTGGACAGTAAGGAAAGCTGACAGGAAAAAAAAAAGATTCATATGAAATATGTTAGTGGTGCGGAGCTTTGTGGATACCCTGGACTGCCAAAAAGAAAACGAGCAGGTTCTAGATTAAAACAAGCCTTAACTATTTCTCGAGGCAAAAATGTTGACACTGAGCCTTCCTAGTTTGGGCACATCACGAGAAGGCAAGATTCTCTGGAAAAGACAATAATGCTGGGAAAGGTGGAAGGCGGTGGGAAAAGAGGAAATATAAGATGGACTGACTTCCTGAAGGAAACTACAGGCTTGAGTCTACGAGAGCAGAGCAGGGCTCTTGAGGAGAGAACATTTTGGAGGTTGCTCATTCATGAAGTCACTATAAGTTCCAGGCATTGTATATAGTCTCAAACACTGTACATTTCCCCCACAAATGAGGGGCTACAACTGTTTGATCTTTTCAGTCACTCTTTTCCTGCATCTTCTGCAGTTCTACAATAGATCCTAGAAAGGGTGTCAGGTCCTTTGTTTCAGCCAGGAAACTGTCTTGGCCACTGGCTAAACACTGATGCACTGTTATTCTCTGCAATGGGAATTTTCACTGGGATGAGGTCAGCCGAGCCTCCCGCAGTGTCTTTTCAAATAAGCCACAAAGTCTGGAAATACCCTGAGACTACATTTTTGACATGGTAGGAATTGCTCAGATTCTCTCTCTTTAACACAATTAGATCCACACTTTTTGATAAGAAATTGCTTACAGGGGAAATGCATAACCGACTGCCTGTTTCTGGGATGCATGGAAAAGGTGCAGAAAGGAACAGCGTTCAGTGCTGCGGACGATGCTCCAAGAGTGCTCTGATTTAAATGCTGGATGACGTTATCTTCTGTCTTAGGTGCTCGGGGCCATTACAAGTTCACAACAGGAAGATCTGCTGTAGCCTAGTTTTTCGGGGAAAACAAAGATAGGGATAGCCTAGCAAGGCTCTGTCTTAAGGGGACAGAAGCACAATAAGGGGAAGGGCTTTCCCTCAATAGCCGAACGCATGCTCTGCATGTAAAAAGCTCACAGGCTCAGTCTCTAGGACCTTCCGTTAGGGTGGTGGCGCAAAGCTCACCAGGCTTCCTCATTCACACCTGTCCCCTAGACTCATTAGAGGCATATGTGCAAAAAGCAAATCGGACTAGTAAAAACTACATTAAAAAAAGAAAAAAACACACACAGGGCTTTTTGCACTATACTCTTCATTCAAATGGTGAATTGTTGACCCTCATTTGGGGGAACTAACTCATGTGTGGTCCTTCCAAAAAGGTCTATACACACAGATTTTATTTATTACAAACTGCTGCATTATAAAACACTCGTATACATACATTATATTAAGGGAGAACTTTGGTTGGTATATCTATCCAACAGCACTGAGGAAGTGCACAGATGTAACTGAAGAATAGATGCAGATCCAGTGAGACTGATTGCTTATTGCATAAAGAGGGGAGGTGATGAAGGTCATGGCAATTTATTTCTAACAATCATGATATCCATCCTACCATTGGTCAGTTATGGATGCCTTCAATCTGCCACTAGATTGATTCTTCTTAAAAATCATTTGCTAAACTCTGAATTCCGGCATTAGGAAAAAAATAGTGCTAGGAACTGAATGCCTACTCAATCGAAAAAGGTAGAGTAAAAGAAAATGGACAGGAAAGGCTGAGGAGTGAATGATGGCCTATCTTAGCCATCTCAGAGAGCTGGACTTCAGAGAAGAATGTTTACACTGACAGAGGATTGCTAGAACTGGCTGGTTAGCTCAGTGGATTAGATATATGGTTGCAGAGCCAGAGGCTGGGAGTTCAATTCTCCACTGTGCTCCTTGGGAAATAAGCCAGCTTGTGTAGCCATGGGCAAGCAGCACAGTCCCAGGACTCCCCCACGAAAGAGAGATGACAAACCAATTCTGTGTATTCTCTATCTCAAAAATCCTGCAAAGGGTCACCATAAATCGTAAGTGACTTGACAGCACATATGTATTAGATGACTGATAGAAGCAGAGATGACCCTTCCATATTCCAAGAACCTCTCTCTCCAAAGTTAAAGTCTGGGGTTTAACTAATCTGAGAGGCTGTTGATTGAAGCACCAGACAGTGAAAGTGCTTGTGACCTTGTTGAGAATGAAATTACTGAGATGCAGTCAAAAAGACTGTGCAACAGTGATCAGAAATGGAGTACATTTTTTGGGACTACAACTCCCAGAATACACCAGCCAGCATGGCCATTTCTGTATCTGGTCCTGGTGATGATCAGAAGACCAAATGGCGGCTAGCAAGTTATTACAGACTCCTGGAATGGATTTTTAAAAAATATATAAAAGGAAATTGATTTAGGAGGAGAATTTTGCCACTAGAACTTCTTAAAGAAAAGAATTTATGAGTATCAATGGAGATTAAAAAAGGAAAGGATCTGAAAAGAGAAAGGATACTGTGTCCTTAAAAGCCAATTTTGTGTTGCCCAAGGCTTCCTCACATGCCCCCCAAAAAGGGTCAAACACCTCTTCTAGCTTAGAGGAGAACATCTGGACACGTGCTTTCTAAGCTTACTGGCAGTCTTAGAATATGTGTGGAATCTGTCCCTATGATAGACAGATGTCTCATCGAGAAAGAAGCTTCTCTTTCTTCCTCTGAAAGTGGAAGCGAACATATCCCTCTGGATACATGAATGGTTCAAGCAGGGAAAACAGCAAGCTGCTGGGCCATAGATGCCAGAGTGGTACAGGAATATATAATGAAGGTTTGTGAGAAGCAATACACTCCAGAGGTTCACTTGCAGGCCTTTGAAATAAGTGCACAGAGGAAGGAAATGAAACCAATAAACTGTTGTCATTCAGGATCTGGCACAAAGACTGCAAAGGATGGAGAGTTTGGGCCTTAAAGCCATGGTGGAACAAGAATGGGAGGTGCAAGACTGCTTTTTCTTGACTTTATTCAAGAGAAGATGAGATGGATTATATATTTATTTCACCTATGTACATGGCCAACTGCACTCAGCAAATGACATGTATGCATAATACAATAAACATTGGCTTCTGGCATATCAAGGAGACATGTTGCATGCATACAAGGTATTCCACCTGAATCTATATTATGTCTAGTAGCATCTGAGTTGTCACCATTGAAAGAAAATGGCTACCTTTGTGTGTCTGAAATAGCAAATTGTAGGCAAAAAGATATTTAGCAAAATAATAATAGAAATGACAATGGTCACATCATTTGGGCCTGAATCCATTAGTAGTTCCATCAAGAGTAGACCCACTGAATCAATAGGACCATTGAACAATTAATTCATTAGGGCTACTCTTGAGATTTGAATAAATATTTCTGGAAACTCCAACCAAAACACAGAATCCAAACCTAAAATTTCAGCATTTCCAACATGCCAAAAATGTCAGCCTAAACATCTTACCTTGGCTTGGCTTGCCTGTGTACAGCTTCTCAGAGAGAAAACTGTGATCTCTGAAGCTTTGCACTGTGTTCCCCATCGCAATGATGGATACCATTACTAGCCAGCTCCGGAGTACATTCAGAAAACGACTCATCTTGCAGAGGCACTACACAACCTGATCAACAAAGGAACAAAGGCAGAATTTAGAGTATATGATATTGTCATGTATCTTAATTTGTTGTCACTCTTCTTTCCCTTACCTTTGCAACTTTTCCTGCTACATCACTGTATAGGCCTTTGCAAAAATCTCAACTAGGGCCATAACTTCCTTGAGAGACAATAATAATAACTGCATGCCATCATGCTGATTTCAGCTTATAGAAATACTTTCCAGGGTTTTCTCAATATACAATAGTAACAAGTAGTTCACAATTCCCTTTTTTTTCAGTGCACTCTGGGACTGTGCAGCTTGTTGAAGGCCACATAGGCTGGCTCTTCTTTCACGAGTCAGCTCCTGATCTCCGGCTCTGTAGCCTGGCACCCAACTCACTGAGCTATTCAGTCAGGGCTCAGGGATTCCTGGGATTCAGCAGTGGCACACACTTAAATTAGCTACACAAAGGATTGGAACTGAAGACTATTTAGTACAAATCTATTCTGAAAGAGTCCTATTTTATGACAACACACAGTTGGCTGAGGGGTGTGTGATTTCTACCCATACCTTTATAATGGGAAGCAAACGTCCAAGCCTGCATGCAGCTAATTTGGAAAAATGCTTCAGCCAAGGTCCCACAGCAACTTCCAAGTAAATATACATGCAGTTGCCTACACCCGACAACCCTGATCAACCAGTTTGTGTTCTCCTCCCCTTCCTTCCACCCACAACCCGGAAGACCAGCTAACCACGAAACAGGAGAATACTGGGCAAACAGATGGCATTTACCAATGTGCAGCGACTAATTCTGCCAACTTGTAACTGCTCCTATTATAAAGGTACTCCACCTTTGATAACCCCACTCCTTCAATCTGCGATGTTTGTCGTCTTTAGAAACACTCTCTAAGCATCCCCCCATTCAGCTCTTGCAGTCCCTGTTCCTTACACACAAACCCTCTCCGTCCAAACGACGTCCCTTCGCTGCCACCTCCGCCGTGTCCAACCCCACCCATCAATGGATACCCACAGACCCTACATCACCCTACCTCGTCGCCCAACTGCAGCAAGCTTTTCACCCCACCTTCAGTCCAAGCAGCTGTAGCTCCACCTCCTCGCACTCTATGCAAGGATTGGTCTACGGTCCGGCTTCGCATGCTCCTGGTTGGCCCCTACGTTCCTCTGTAGACCTACCCTCCGAGCCAATCAAAGGCTTCGAATGCGTCGTGGTGTCAGCTTCGAAGGAAAGGTGGCGGGATGGGTCCCTATAGCGCCACCGTCCCTGTCTTCTTTTTATCATTATTGCAAAACAGAGAAGCTGGGGGTGACGCCATATTAGAAGGGGCGGAAGCGTGAGAACGGTGGAAGGTACTGTTCTGCGCACGCGCCTGGGAGACGGAGCTGGGCGGGAGCGGAGAGTCGGCGCCTGCGCAGACGTGCCTCGAAGAGGGAGGGGGAACGGTTGCTTGTTGGTTGTTGTAGTAACAGAGCAAAGCGCCGGCAAGAGTTGCTGCGGCTCCCGGCCGCCAAGGGACATGAAGCCGCAGGTACGGACGCTGAGGGTGCTCAGGAGCGGTTAGTACGCGGGCTGTGGCGGAGTCTGCTTAGGCGGAAGTGCTTAGCTTCCCGAGAGGCGTCTGGGGAGAGGGAGGCAGCAGCAGCAGCAGCAACAGCATCATCTTCTCCCGCTCAAAGAAGTAACAAGCGTCCTGGAGAGGAGGCTGCCCTGAGAGCAAGAGGCTGGGCCCCTTTTGCTTAGGTCAGAGCTGGGAGACGTTCCTTTTTTGGACTAGAGTCCCCAGAATAAAGCAGTTAACGTGACCGTGGTGGCTGGTGTATTCCGGCAGTTGCAGTCCAAAAAAAAAAAAGTAACGTTTCCCATCTGTCAGGGCTAGTCGGGTCACGTCGCATTGACTGTTGGAGCCGGAAAGCCCGCAGAGTTGAAGCACAACGTGCCGGGAGGAGAACAGGACCCAGATGAGGAATCCATAACGCTTTCTGCTCCCCATAGGCGTAGAGATGCGTCCCCCTGTATGGGGAAAACGCCGGGGTCGTCTAAAGGAGGACGGGTGGTAGTTCTAGGAAAGGAACGGCTTTTTCAGAATAGGGTTTTGTGTGCGTGTGTTTGGGGTGATGGTGGTGGTTCTAGCCCCTTGCACATAGTCATCAGACCACGAGAAAGAAAACTCGAATCATAGTGAGTAAATGTGTGTTGTTAGAAGCAGCTGTAAAGTTACATAGAAGAGAAAGTACTGAATATAACTGAGAGTGTTTCAAGAAGGTGAGTTCTTGGTTCAACCTGTCAAAAAGGCATTCTTTCCTCTTTTAGACATAGCGGATTTTTTGCCTGTTGAGAGGAAGACTTGCCTTTACATTTCTCTCAGTTCCGGAGATACGATTTTCGCGGTCTTCTAATCAAGTAGTCTGAACACAGTGAATCATGTAATCTAGTTTTATGCTGTAGCTTAGAACCGGTGGATTGATAGTTATGTCATGACACACATAGTTGTTGCATAATTCTACTTTCATCAGGATGTATTTTGGCTGTCAGATTGTGGCTCAGTTATATAATTTGGGTCCAACAAGATGTGAGGGTAGGAGAATTGTGTTTTAAAACATAACTCATTGCCAGACTTTTACTCATGTAAAGATTTTACTCATGTAAAGAAAAGTGAAGGTGGGTTGTTTTCATTCAGAGAGAAGGAATACTGTATTATAAAATGGTTCTGAACCTGTTGTCCATAATTGTATCTGCCTTGTACTCCCTATCCCCACAACTCCTTTTAGCTAGTTTCCAGCTGTGGTACAAGAATATTAAGTCCAGTAATGTGAAAAGCTCCAAAGGTGAGGAGGTGTGTTTGGGGCAGAAGACTCACTGCGTCTTGCCACCAGTGCTTCTCTGCATTCCCCTCCATATTTCATATCTATTCCGCATATTTTGTATTTTAATAAAAGCGTTGTTGTTTACTTATATGTATTTATGAACAGCTTACATCTATCAGTTTTAAAGAAGTATGCACAGCTAATGAAATATATCATGTAAAACCAGTACCAAATGTATGTATTTATCCTTAAGAAAAATGGATAGTAGCTTGAGCTGTATTAGGAAAACTTGCATAAACAAATATACTGTCAACAAATTCAGAATTCTAATAATTGTTATACTGAAGAAGCATGAAGTCTAATTATACCCCCAATGTACAACTTCTGGAAACTACGCTCTATGTCTGTACCCAGACCAAAGTGATTTCATTTACTAGTCTGACTGGAGGGCACGGAGATTGCAAAGAGAGTGCAAGTAATACAGATAATCTGGAGAGGACAAGCCATTGTAGGTTCTTCTGTCAGTTGTATAATATGCATCTTCTACCGTGTTTCCCTGAATATAAGACAGGGTCTTATATTAATTTTTGCTCCAAAAATGCATTAGGGCTTATTTTCAGAGAATGTTTTATTTTACAGTCATGTCATCTTCTGATTGCTACACAATGGTGGAGGGCAGGGTTTCACTTAACTGGGGCTTATTTTTGGGGTACGGCCCTTATTATGAGCATACTGAAAAGTCATACTAGGGCTTATTTTCAGGTTAGGTCTTATTTTCGGGGAAACATATTTTTGGATGAATGTCCCATACAGATATATCCAAAGAGACCAGTATTATAGATGGTCTGTTGAAGATAAAAGGTAAAGGTTCCCCTTGACAATTTTTGTCCAGTTGTGTTCGACTCTAGGGGGCGGTGCTCATCCCCGTTTCCAAGCCATAGAGCCAGCGTTTGTCCGAAGACAATCTTGCATGGTCACATGGCCAGTGCGACTTAGATATGGAACGCTGTTACCTTCCCACCAAGGTGGGCCCTATTTATCTACTTGCATTTGCATGCTTTCAAACCGCTAGGTTGGCGGGAGCTGGGATAAGTGACGGGTGCTCACTCCGTCGCGTGGATTTGATCTTACGACTGCTTGGTCTTCTGACCCTGCAGCATAGGCTTCTGCGGTTTAGCCCGCAGCGCCACCACATCCCTTCATCTGTTGAAGATAGTTGACTGTTAATATTTATATTCTTTTCTCTCTCTTAAAAGCTCAGATGTTTCATTTTGTCCTCATTTCTATCTCATTTTATCCTCCCTATAAACGTTTGAGGTAGTGACTTGGCCCAGAAAGAATTACAGCTTACTGGAAATTTTCACTTGAATTCCTATACCCAAATCCAGCGATCTAACATCACACAGTCTTCCTTAATTAAGAAGCATTGCCTTGCTTTGATGTGTGTGCATTTGGTCTGGTCTCCAGGTGTCTGTGTGAATTTTGTTGTATGTGTATACTATAGACTCACAATGACAATATATAATTTTATTTATTTATTATTTATTGATCACTCCCCCCTCCCATTTTTTTCCACAGAAAACAACACCATATAAATCTACTGATTTTAGAGGGAAGCGTTTGAGAGGCCATTGTTTCTGGGCTGTATGAAAACGTCCACAGGAAATGCCAGTTGGAATGGCTCGGGATTTAGAAGAAACAGATTCATCTTCAGAGGAAGAGGAAGAGGTGGAAGAAGGGCCAGAGTAAGTTAAAAGTGCATGACGCCATTACACAGCACCAAAATGATGGCTGAAATCCTGTTGCTTAGTGTGACTCAGACTAGAGTAGGCCTGTTGAGTCAGCGGGGTTTGGGGAATCAACTCCATGAGTTCCACTGATTCAAATAGGCCTTCTCTAGTTGTGACTTACTATAGTGTATAGAAATGCTGTATAGCAAAATTGTTTAGGTCTCTGACTGCGGAGCCAGAGATTGGGAGTCCCCCCCCCCGTACCTCCTCAATAGGCTGGACTTGATGATCCATAGGGTCCTTTCCAGCTGTGCAATTCTAAGATTATCATTATTATTATTAAGTTACAACTTCAATGCCCATGTTTGAATCAATGGAACCTAGAGAGGAAATGACTCACCAAATCCTCCCTGATTCAGTGGGCCTACTCTAAAGCAACTTATTATACTGAGAAACATAATTTTAGCCTTTCTGCTTCAACAGGTAAGTTTAGAGGTTTTCAAGGGGGGAAAAAGTAAGTGGGTTACAAGGTATGATCAATGTGTACTTTCTTATCTGAGTATTGTTCTGGGACTTGAGAAGCTATTTTCTCTTGTAATTATATTGGTAAGTTGGTGGGATACAGGATAAGAGAAACTATTTGTCCCTCTAACTCCATATTTTATACTCAAATTTGCAATATTTCCCCAGAGTTTGAGGCAAAGGTATTTTGTAGTATCTCTGGTCTGATCTTTTTTTTCCTGAAATGTCACCTTTCAAAAGATAACATGGTATCAGTGCCACAGTGACATAAGCTTCATAATCTGGATGTGTATGCAGCTTGCTTGTCTTGCTTCAAAAATATGCAGCTAAGTATAGCTTATAGAGTCAGAATTATTCTCTTGATAGGTATTGCCTACTACCCAACATGTCAGGTGTTGCATCAGGTAACCCAGGGTCATGAAGGATGAGTGTTGCAGTCACTTGGAAGCTTGTCTGAGCCCTAGTGTTATTATTGTAAATCCTGAGGACAGGGCTTAGTCTAAAGTCCCTGCATGCAACCTCGGCTCTATTTCTATTTACATAAAGTGTTAGGATAGACACAATAAACTCTTCTTTGACTTAAACTGCTACCTTAGTTCAGTGTTCCAGACTGAACAACCTGTGGAAGAGACTGAAGAGGATGTAGTTTAGGATCTTCATACTGACATCCAAAGATGTGGGATTTTAATTATCAACATGTCCTATGCAAAGGAAACTTAGAGAAAGGAAACATTTTATGGTGATATCACCTGCTTTTGTTTTATGTGCATACAGACAGGACTCTGTTAGTGAAAGTGTGATCTCATGAAGGGCAGATATTTTATTTCTTTTAAAGTTTGTGACATTTTATTCATCAGGATAGAGCATACATTAATTCAGATATGTGATATGTAACAATAATAATTGCACGCTGCCAAGTTAATTCTGATTTATGGAGCTCCTTTATAGGGTTTTTCAGGTAGAGAATATGCAGGTTTACCGTTCTCTTCTTCTGAGGTCATCCTGGGGCTGTGCAGCTTGCCCAAGGCCGCACAGACTGTCTCTTCTCCCTAGAGGCACAGTGGGGAATCAAACTCCCAGCCTCTGGCTCTGCAGCTAGATACCTAAACTACTGAGCTATCCAATCTGAACTCTGTTATTTTTAGAAAGTGTGATCTCAGGAAGGGCAGATACTCTTAGTTCTTTTAAAGATTGTAGTCTTTTATTTAACAGGCTAGGGTGTGCTTTAATTCAGATATATATAGTATGCAATGTTTTAAAAACATTTTATTTTCATCAGAATTCCTTAACTGGTCCATTGCATGGATTACATAGTATGTCTGTTATGAAACTGCTGGAAAGTATATTGTATATTTCAAATGTTTGGTTTCTTTCTGTATCAATATGGATTATTATTGTTTGCCATTAATTTTCTTAAGTACCGGTACTTAAATCTGTTTGTCAGTGTAGGTATATATTCTCTTATCATCCTAAAAATATCACTTGGTTTTGTTTACATTGATATAAATCCATGTGGAAAGTTATTGTTTGTCTAATTTATAGTTACAGTGAATCTAGTCAGATAAAGTACGATTCTGTTTAGTCCATTCAGGGGACACTGTACATAGTATATTACACCATACACTGACTTTGCTCTGGTATGAGAATACAGTACTGTATTAAGGAATTTACCTCATGGTAGCACAGCAACCCTGTCATTCTTTTATCTCAAAGATCTGTCTATATTTTACTCCTGTTACATGATGAATTGCAGTTCCCAATGGTCTAGCAATGTTAGCTTTGCCCGTTATGTTCTGTTTTTATTTTTTCTTAATTATCATTAAGTATTTGATATAGTTTATGGGAGGTACATTGGAGGAACGGTAACCATGACACATGTAGTATTCTAGTAGATACTGTAGAGCTACATTGGCGGCTTGGGCATATTGTGTTACTTGTTAGATCTGAAACATTCTTCAAACTTTGTATGAGGTACTTCTGCCTTTGTTAACTGAGTCTGTGTTCTTATGCTTATCAGAAGGAATACTGAGCTTGCATGTATTTTTGCACAGTCCTCTTGGGTAGAATATTTGTAAACTGTATTAATCTTCTAATTCTTTCTAGGCCAGAGTAGGTGGTCGGTTCCTGGTGATAAACAACTCATTGTTTTCTTGGGCCATATATTTGAACAAGAAACCGAGCCTTCTCGGCAGTGGCCCCTCAATTTTGGAACAGCTTGTCGCCAGAGATCTGCCTGGCACCTTCTCTGGGTGTTTTCAAGAGCCAACTAAAAACTTGGCTCTTTAGGCAGGCCTTCCCTCCTGCCGATACTTGATGTTTACTTTTCTTGGTTTTTTGTTGTCTATCTTCCCATCTTGATTATATTATTATTGTAGATGCTAATCTTTTTAAAAATCCATTTTGTGCACAATATATTGTGAGGCGCCCTGAATAGACTTCTGTCTAGAAGGGTGGGATAAAAACAAACAAACAAACATTTGTCTCTACTTGGAGAGAGGAAGTGTGAAGGAATGCTGTAGGGTTGTTTCCTTGACTATAAGGCTCTAGCAGTAGAAAATGGTATTCCAAAATATCTATAATCCTGCTGTGAATTTGGTTTGAGATTGTAAAAGCAAAGCAAAAAGCAAAGTGTGTTGTTTATATACTGCCCTGTGACACTTAAAGCATTCTCTGGGCGATTTACAGGTTTTAGTTACTCAGGCTACCCATTGCCCCCCCCCCCCAAAGGGGGGTAGTCAATTTACTGACTTCAGAAGGATGGAAGGTGGAGTCAACCTTCTAATCACAATTAGTTTATGCAAATAAACTAATTTGATTTTATTTAATGGAATTGTTGATCGGGCAAAAACGTATGTTATATGAAAATTTGCTTGTATTTTTCTACATAGTCTTCCTATTTCTTGTTCTAACTTAATTATTTCATTTCTCAACTTTGTTATTTGCCATTATCTACAACGAGTTGTCTTCTTGCTGCATAGTGACCATACAATGTCAACATTTCTGCAATTTGGCCTGAGGCGTAACCGTAACACAGCAACACTTTGTTATTTTCTGAGATGTTGCCTTAGCAAAAGTTGCCGTGATACACTGTCACTTTTTGCCCTGATTCATGAAGAAGTGAAATAGGAAAATGTAAGGATATGTCTTATATAACTGCTTTAAGCATTGCAGGTTTAGTCTGATGCTACTTAAAATATCAAAACGATATTTTGTTATGCAAGTGATCTTAATTTCCTTGCTTTGAATGTTGAATCAGATAAGTGAAGAGAGTAAAACTTGTTATTTGTCTAAATTGATAAGGAATTCAGACAAATAAACATAAGTAAGAATAGCTCTTAACTGTAGATGGTAATTTGTTTCATTATAAAAACTTGTACTTATAGCATGTGGATTCTAATGTTTATTTTTACTATGAAGTGCTTTCAGTCCATATAAACTAGTTAACCTGGCTCTCTTCATAGTACAATCTTCTATATGTTCATATCTGTGTCTTCTTGTTTTAGGGAGCATCCGTGTATCACATGGACAGGTGGATTCAGAAGAATCCCAATCCTGGTATTTCATGCAGAAGCTATTTTAACCAAGGACAGTTACATCCGCTTGATTGGGGGTAAACATAATTTTACTCAATGTATTGTTATTCTCAGACTAAGTATGTATAGTGTCTGAATGAAAAGACTTAACCAGAAGCCACTTTCCTTCTGTCATATAAAGTAAAGAGAATCTTTAGTAAGGTAGTCATTAACTGGTTTTGGATATAAATAATTTAATGAGTATTGAAACCATGAACTCTTAAGTCATAAGGGCAGAGATGGTTAAATTTGTTCCTTCTGTGTTTACTGCAAATGGATGGAAATGTAAAAGTTCTTGATCTTGTTATATTCTGTTTGATTTAGGAAGTGCACAGATTCTTTTTTCCTTATATAAAAAAGTTGTGCTTTCTTTGCTTCACATAAGAATTCCCAATATGAAACATTAAGAGTTTAAGAACTGTTCCATCTTGGTCTCCAGCAGTAAATTATTTACTTATTTGTGTGTTTAATTTGTATCTTGTCTTTCTCCTAAAAATTGGAACCCAAGAGAGTGTATAGTATAATTAAAAGTAATACATTATAAATATTAAAACATAGTTAAATCAGTTACTCTGTTCAAAGCCATTTTAAAAATATCAGTTAAAAATAATAGTTACAGTTAATAGTAGAAAAGTGCTTCACTTTATACAGTGAACTGATGACAGCAACTGCAGCAGTAAGCACAACATAATACAACTATACTGCGTTCTATAAACTAACATTATTGTGCTGTTAGTGAAATAGTGTAAAAATGTTCTATACTTGTATGCCATTGCAGTATGATAAATACAAATGTATTAAATTCTTTGACACTATTTTCTCTTATATAGCTGGAACAATAGAATGTATCTGGAATGCTGTTACTGATTTTGTGTTGCTTTCTTCACAGAACGCTATCGCCTGTCTTTTAAGATAGTGAGGACAGACAGTCGTCTGGTACGCAGCATTTTGTCAGCTCATGGATTCCGTGAGGTACATGTATCAGACTTCTTGAGTATGAAGAAACTGAAAATCCAAATCTGTTTCCACTCCTCTTAGAACCAAGAGACAGCTACAGATCAGAGCCTGGGGTGTGTTAAACAATGCCAAGTAAACAAACAGCTCTGTAAAATACTCTCTTTATACATTTTATTATATTGTATAACATTCTGTTACAATCATGATTACTTTATAATGTGCATTCACCTTCCAGAATGTTATTTTTTTGAAGTTGGAAACTTCCCTTACAGTTTCAAAGCATAAAGTCTGGTGCAGCTCCTAATATTCCCGAAAACACTCAGTTTGTAGAGCTGGCTGTGTAATTTTGTTTATTTGCTGTTGAAGGGCAGTGTATCAAGAGCTGCTAGAACAGTGATGGGCAATGTCCAGATGTTGCTGAATTGCAGCTTCCGTATTCCTCATTGTTAGTTGTGTCGGCTAGGATTGAGGGAGCTAAAGCTCAACAACAGCCCCTATTCCAACAAGATATTTAGCTATTAATTTAAATATGGTAAGAAAAGGAGTCATAGTCTTGCTTGATGCTGTAGCAGGGAAACAGAATAAGGAGTTTTGCAATATTTTTAAAGACTAGACAGTGTGTAGGCTTCAGATTTACATAGCTTTATTAGGGTTGTGTATAATCTTTGTGCACCCTCTGTGACTGAGTAAAGGATACACAGATTGGGGCCAATCTGCCCTACACCCTTTTGACGACACGTTGACATGCTCCTTTTCTGGTCCATGATAGTATTCATTTGTTTCCAGTACTCATGAAGTCTCTGTTCCTGTGAATGGGGAAATGCAAATAACAAGTCCAGGTCATAGACTGAATAATGTAAGATGGCAGAAGGGAATCTCCATCTTACAGACCTGGGCTCTGTTTTATTTTCGTTTTTATTTTTCTAGCTGCTAGGAGAAAGTCCCAGTCAACTTTTTAAGAAACCTGCTGGGAAGGGAGTGAGATAATGAGTGAGGGACTTTAAAAACACAATTGGCACAATCATCTTTGGTTCTTTCTTGAAAGGATAATATGTAATATGGCAGTTCTACTTTTTTTGTTGTTTGTCCCTCGTCCACTCTTCCTATTCCCTGATCTGAAATTAGTGGTGCTGTGACCACAAGGTTTTGATGATATAAGCAATGCCTTGTGATAGGAGAGACAAGGAACATTAATTTCTAAGGTAAAGCTCATATTGTCCTTCATAATCATTCTTTTTCTAAATACTGGATTTGACATGGAGGATCTGTGGGGTACTGCTTCACCCTATTAATGTCTCTGGGCTCTTTGCTTTTCCAAGAAATGCAAATTATCCCACATTCAGTTTGTTTTTACACATTTGACCAAAGAGAGTATAAATCCCTAGTTATTATAATGTCTTCCTTGCTGCTTTCAAATTAATGTACGTATTACTTTGGATACTGTAGTTTTTTACCCAAATGATTATCTCATAAGGGTGTACAAGCATGTTTTTCCCACAGGTGCATCCAAGCAGCAATGAATATAACCTTATGTGGACAGGGTCCCATCTAAAACCCTATGTTCTGCGAACCCTCACTGATATTCAGAAGGTCAATCACTTTCCCAGGTATGAAGTATATTTCATTAAAAAAAATCTGAGGTTTCAAAAATGTTGTATTGACTGTAAACTCCCTTACGAAGAAAGCATGGGTTTCCAGTTGTTGTTGAACATTTTCCTCAGCACTAGTAGTATAGGTTTCAGTTGATAATAGTTTCAGTCTATATGAATATCTGGAGGAAAACTGAATCTGGATAAAAACAATGTTTCCTATGAGGGTAAATTAATATCAACACGGGTCTTAAAGGTCATTTCCAGGTGTGACATACTGCACTGTCAACAACTTGTGCCCAGAGAAAAAAACAGTATGTTTTGCAGTCATGCATAAATATTTTCCATATAGTTCTATTCTTATGTTTGAAGAAGTGGACTTGTCCATGAAAGCTCACATTCAAATATAGCACTCAGTTTTTGATGTGCCTGGGGAATTATGGGAGTTGTCAAACAATGCACATTTCTACACGTTTACTTTTTATAAGAGGCAGAGGTTGTTAAAATTTGTGAGTGCTAAAGTATTTTTTGTAAGATAATCATAAAGAAGATATCAAACAGTCACTATATTTGATTTCAGATCATATGAATTAACTCGAAAGGACAGATTATACAAGAACATCAATCGAATGCAGCAAACCTATGGTTTCAAAACATTCCATGTTCTGCCTCAGACTTTCATCCTCCCAGCTGAATATCAGGAGTTCTGCAGTAAGTGTCAGCTTCAGAGTAACCAGTCTTTTGCAGGACATTTATGGGTTTGTCTCCAAAGATCTTCAAAATACTAAGAGCTAGAAACCAGATGTTTCTATACAGAAACTGTGTGGTATATTTTGACTGGGCATGCTTGCAGCAGTAGTCCCCTTCTTGAAACATTAGGACCTATGAACACTTAATTTTGCCCATATGCTGATGAAATGCCAATTTAAATTAATGGGTAGGTTGTAATCAAGTAGGTTGTATTGGTTTGGGATTTCTGGGAGGTGTAGTCCAAGGAACTTACATTTCTATCCTGTATGTTCTGGACATAATGGAGGAAAAAAGACCAACTCAAAAATTAGCCTTGGGGCTGTAGGAGAAGAATAAGCACTGGTATTGTGAACAGGACTAACGTTTTAGTAACACTTCAGCAAATTGAATGAGTACCAGAGTGGTGAGAGCGAAAGCGAGAGCAGTATGAAAAAGAATTTAGAGGGTGAGAGAAAACACTGGGGTGAGGGTAGGTGTCATTGTTTTTTAAGCTGGGCAAAGTCAAGCACATTTGCTGCTTTGTAAAATTGGAATTGATCAATGACATACGACTTCTTCATTCCATGACTTTTTTGTGCTTCAGCTCACACAGTGTAAGACATGGATGTTATAATGATTCCAATGAGTAGTGGCTTCTGTTTTAGTTAAAACGGGAGCCTCTTATCACTAGACTAATTATAAAACAGAAGTCTAATCAGTTGGTGTATTAAATATTTCTGTCTGCATGATCTTAATTCTTTCTGAAAAACTGAGGAGTACATAAGTGTCTCAGGTTATTATCTATCTCTGTACCAAAGAAAATAGATATGAATCTTAAGTCTTGGTGCTTTGACTCTTGAGCTCTTTTTACTGTGTTGCAATCAAAAGGGGTCATCCAGGAGCTCCTGCTTACAAGGAATCACTCCAAATTCTAATTGATGTGTGTCAATGGCCAACATCTTCTAGTCTACTTATGCAGGAGTCAAACTACCTAAGTTTAAGAAATTTTTGTAGATACTAACTGTTGCATACTGAGTTGTGTGACTCAGTGTGCAACAGATACGTCTACAGAGATTTCTTAATTTGACGCAGTTTGCTTCCAAATGTTATGTCATTTGCATACCTATGCAAAGTATTTGGGCCATTATTTACACTACACTGAATGTAAAGGATGCAGAATTTTAAAAAGAGGCTTATGGCTGCTTCAGTACTTTACAATATTGGTTGAACGATATATGTAAGCACTCATTAAAAAAGTCAGAAATTGGTAATGTGTTTGTACAGCATTTCATAGTGTTTTATTTATTTGTCCATTGCATTCTTTCCCAACCAGATTCCTATTCAAAGGATAGGGGACCATGGATAGTGAAACCTGTGGCATCTTCTAGAGGGCGAGGTGTCTATTTGATTAACAATGTAAGTATCTGAAAGCATACAGAGTTTGATGACTCACTAATATTTCTGAACAAATTCACAGTAACATTTTGTTCCCCATCAAAAATTCCCCATCAAAACCTGTACAGCATATTGTATGATACTGCCTTGAAACACTGTTTTGTTTTGCTTACATGGATTATCAAATGATGTGATAGTTGAATACAACAGCCTTGAGTTATGTCAAGTGTGGACACAGGGCCTTGATAAAATGGGTGTGATGGTTATCAATATATTCTCACCAGACACATGCTGTATAACTAGATGTTAGGCAAGTGTACAGTCTTTAATAATCAATGATGATTTTCATATGTGGCATATGCAGATATTTTGAGATTCATAGTACAGGTATTAGTATGACTGCTAGGAAAAGTCAAGGTTCTATTTTATCTTAGTTGCTATAGAACAGTTAGTGAAACTGGCAGCGCTTGTCATTTTTCTGCAGTCCTAATGTTTGATACAACCCAAAAGTTAGACTGAGCAGAAAGCAGTCTTTACTGGATGGTAAGGGGCTTGTAGTGAACATAGTCATATGGTAAGCTTGTATTTGTCTGTAGCATCACCCTATGTGAGTGCAGAATTTTACTATGCTTCTGCTTCTCATCGGGTATCTGTAAAAAAGCAAGAATGTGATGAGATTCTTGCTGTATGTGACCATCTCCTCTGATTTATATATCCACCATAGTAGGTATGCAGTTTGTAAAGAGATTCAGTCATACTAGTCCAGTGCCATGGATTCAGTGTTGACTGTACCTCACCTATAGGTATGGCCTGGACATGAATTTCTTGCTTAACTGCACCGCGTGTGCATATAATTCTTTGCATGTGTATTCAAAAGTTTAAAAAGTATTATTGGTATAAAGTAGTACAACACTGGACAATGAGTCATTGCTTTTGCTCGTCCCTTCCTCCCGTCATGTTGAAGGGGCCAGCTTGCCTCATCTGCTGTCAACCTGGCTTCTTTCCCATGGAATAAGGGAGCTGCTAGCCAAGTGCATGAAGCAACTCTTTCCAGAGCTACGTAAAACTTTACTTGAAGCTTCAAAGAAAGATATATATGAACACTGGGTCAGAACATGGAAAAGACACTCTAAATCCATTTGCGGTCATATTTGTCTCTGCCAGCATTGTAAAAACCACAAACCTGCCAGATTTTCAGAGAGAACTGTTTATAAACTCCTGAATCTTCTGTAGATAGTAAGGGATGTATTTGTACACATTATACTTTATAACTGAAGTTTTCTAGCTGATTATAGTGAACCTGTTCATAACCAAAAATGACTTGGTGAAGTTGTTGCTATAGGTATAGATCATGTTAGATTTTACTTAGTTATGTTGGCATTAGAAGCAGAGGTGGTATCCAATCCAGTTCTCCTACTCAGAGAATTGTAGAGTGATTCACCTCCCCTGCATTCTCAAATTTTACACACAGAGACTGCAGATGGAGGGAAATGTCCTGGGCTCCTCTTTGCATCTTTAGCAGAAATTTTCAGTCACTAAAGATTTTCCCTATCCTTTATAGTGGTTATCTTAAGTAGACAAAGGTTGAACTTGGCCTCTTGATATTTACAGTTGCTCTTTGCATACATGCAAACAATAGGGTTGTATGTGATACTGTCTGTCTGCTGATAGAATGAATTTACCAAACCCCTGTGTGCTCCCTGGATCTGTTTTACAGGTTGGAAGGTCCTGTGAAGCAGATATGTGGGGAAAGGATAAGTCACAGTGCCATAGTGCTAAATCTAGCATTTTGTCTAAAGTATAATTGATTACGATGATGATGATCATTTTAGAACTGCAGAGCTGGAAGGCACCCTATGGATCATCGAGTTATCCTCTGTCAAGGAGCCATAGTAGGGACTAGAACTCACAACTCTGGCTCTGCAGCTAAATCACTGAGCTATGATAACTGATAATTAGTAGAATTTGCCTTGCCTTTTTATACCAGTGCTCTGGTTTTTGATACTCTTGAATGAAGGTGTGTCTCTTCTGTTTTCCCCTTGTACTGTGATGTATACCTGTTTCTTTGGCCATAAAGGAACCTGATGACTAGGAAGAAGATTTCTATGTCATGTCATTACCCCCCCCCCACACACACATATTTCTAAGGTTATGGGTGAGTTTCAACATGTTTACTAGTAATCTGGTGTAAAAGGGCAGATTACTCATAAACATATTTGAACTTGCAGGTTGCAGAGAAAATGTGAAATGTCATAGAAATCCTCTCCCTAATGATGACTAATGCCTGTGTTGTTCTAGCACATCTGCAACTTCAAGCTTTAGGGTCAATCACAGAACAATATTCTGCCCTGTCTCACTTATGTGCACAATACCTGGAGTGTTTGATAACTGCACTGAACAGTGCTTTGTTTGGGATAAATCAGATTCTAGCTTTAATTACAGGGCATGGTTAATTAAAAGCATTGATTTAATGTTTAGTTATTAATTAGATAAACATTGCAGCAGTTGTGGGCAAAGTCACTGAAGTCAGCATCCAGGCCTTTAATTTCTCACTCCATTGTGCTGCCTTTCTCATTCTGTAGCCAAATCAGATCTCCTTGGAAGAGAACATCCTGGTCTCACGCTACATTAGCAACCCTCTACTCATAGATGGTAAGCTTCTGTTAGCATTTGCTTTTCATGTATGCATGAGACGTTGAAAGTTTTAGTAAAGCTTCTATTGTATTTATTGGTGTGGTAAGTACAGTACAGTTTCTGTCATCCAAATATAGTACATATTGCCATTCACTGGGAGATAATTCTGGGCATTCTTCCCCAATTTCTGAGCAATTTGAAGCAACTGATTATTGTTGCTCCTTTTCAGACTTCAAATTTGATGTGCGGCTTTATGTTGTGGTGACATCCTATGATCCCCTTATTATCTATCTTTATGAGGAAGGCCTAGCCAGGTAGGTACTTCTTCTGTTTTCCTTACTTTGTAGGCCAAATATTTTTTCGCAGAGTCACATGGAATATAGGTGAGTGTGGATCTAATGACCTTTTATAACCATGAGCAACAGATAGTAAAAGGACTCTGTAGATTTTTTTTAGAACTTTGGTGTGTTCTAGAGGTTGGAAATTGTGAATGAATACATCTATAATATCTAGATCAGGGGTGTCCAACCTTTCACCTTCCCTGGGCCACATTGGACCGCACATAAAATAAAATAACAGTAACGATACCTGATCATCCAAAAAAAAAACTGGGGCAAGAGGTTCAAATGTTTGCAAGACAGCTCTTCGTAACCCCTTTCACACATTTTTTTCTGTTCTGAAACCGTCCTGATGACTCACACCAAAGTAATGCTTTTGCCTTGGTTTGCCTTCACGATATAGAGACTGGAAAGCTAGCAGCACGGAGCAACCCCGCGGCTGGAGACAGAGCCCGGGAAATTCAAATGGGCTCCTGCCTCCTTCTGCCGTGTCTCTCCGTGCTGCTGGCTTCCCAAGTAGAAACTCTGAAGTTTCTACTTACTCTCAGCCTTTCACCAGCCAAATCCAGCCTCACTGAAGGCGGTGACCATGGTGGTGTCGGTCTCCTCTATGGACTCCGACCTGCAGCGGGCTGCCTTTCTCCCTGCTCGGCCAGAAAACCCAAAGCCTGGCAACTGGACGGACGAACCGCCAGGCTGACTTCCTCCCTCACTCCGTGCAGTAGCGGTGTCGAGCGGCTCGGCTACCTGCTTTCCCCCCCAGGCGCTGAGTTGGCTGTTGAGTTTCGGGGCGGATTTGGTGCTAAGGCTCCAGAATTTGAGGCTGGCTTTTTCCTGCCTGACACACACACACTTCGCGGGCGGGCAGCACCTCCCTCTCCGCATTCCCCTCGCTGTATCTTTCCAGCTCTTTTTTGCTTCCTCACTGACCCACTCACACGCTTTCCTCTTCACCAGGAGAGAGGCTGGGTAGCAGAACTGGAACACTAGCACAGCATTGTGGGAAGTGCGGGACCTTCACTGGGCCGCATTAGGAGCCAACCTGGGCCGCATGCGGCCCAAGGGCCACGGATTGGAAAAGCCTGATCTAGATGATACCTCCTCCCCCTTCTGGTACTTCAGATGAATGTACACTACTTGTTACTTTTTCATGGATCTCTAGCCCTGAATATTTAGAGGTAGCAATTGGCCAAAATTAAAGTAATCCCAGTGATGGTGGGGAATACGGAATATATATTGCAGTGAATTAAATACCTTTTCTTCATGTAGCCTTCAGGTGGCAGTAGTGGTCTTTAAGGCTGTCTTCGCCTTTTTATTTTTACTGGATCTGAGCAAAAGCACAAGGGAAAGCTTTCATGGTTCCATTAACACACATTTTTCAAGTCTTTTTGTTCATAGGTCTGTCAGTATGCCAGGAGACTTCTCAATGCTGTATGAACGTAGCTGTATTTTAACCAGGTCATGCATGTATACTGTCCCTTTTTACAAAGTGTTTTTTAGTGAAGAATTTGTTACTCCTGAAAGAGTGTGATCTTTTCACAGCTTTTTCCATTTGGAGATGGAGACAGAATGCAATGACTAGGTATAGAAAGAATAGTCACTAAATCTGTCAACATTTCAGTGATCAGTTTTAAAACTCTGTGAGATTCCTGCCCTCAGTTGAGAGCAATATGAACAGCTAACCCTCCCCCCCCCCGGTTTCTGTAACATGATGATGATCATCATCATCATAATCTTAGAACTGCAGAGTTGTGAAGGACCCTATGGATCATCAAGCCCAGCCCCTGTGAAGGAGGCACAGTGGGGAATCAAATTTCCATTCTCTGGCTCCACAGCTGAATATGCTAAACCACTGAGCTATCAAGCAGTTCAAATTCGCTCAAAATATCTTTAGTGTCCTTTGCCTTTAAGAAACTAAGCATATGTATTTTTGATTAAAAAGGATGCAAACAACACAGTGTTTCAAATTCTTAAATAAGCAGCAGTCATCCTAGTTTTGAGCTATTTTCACAATTTGCCAAACCTGAAAATTTGAGGCAAACTGCGCAGTTCTACCCTATTATATATCAAATTAGCATTTTTTAAAAATGATCTGTTTCATAATGAAGCAGAATTATCAACCATCTGAATACATTAAATTGTCATTGGGAGCAAAAACTGAAAAATGCAACTTTGCACTGGAATACTTGAATAATTGTATCTTATAGCAGCCAATTATATGCTATCATAATAATGCACAAGAGACTTGTATGTTTCTATTATTTGTTCCATATAAAATATCCTTGGAAAGTGATTTTTTTTTTACAGTTAACTCTCTTTGTGTTCTTTTGTCTTTCTTTGCTCTCTCTCTCTCTCTCTCTCTTTGTTGATTTTGTAAACTTAGGCAAAATGCCAGCAGGTGGCACTCCAATACAGACTTTATGGGGAGTTGTCTCCAAAATTAAGTTTTCTTTGTTTGGATTCAAAAGGAGAATTTCATTCATTTAAAATATCAGGTTTTAGATAGATGGCAGCTTTGGGGCTTCGGACTTCTTCAACAGACTCTACTGACTGCTGGACTGGAGAAACAGTCAAGTTGTTTTGTGGAAGCATGATGGTTTGAGCAGAAAACTGAATGCACTTCTGAGGGCCCAAGCAGACAAGGGGGTGGGTGGGAAATTAACGTGGCTGCAAGAGCTGTGCAAGGTCTGAAATGAAGTAGCTGGCAGCAGAGCCTCTTAATGTCTGACAGTGCACTGCTTTCCTGTTCTTGAGCCCCCTAGTGCCTTCTTTGGTAGCCCTGCTTACTAATTAGCACTGGCTCCATGGAGATATTTACCTTTTCTCTGCTGGATTCCTGTGGTTTCCAAAGTATTCAGGTACTTACTGTGAGCCAAGGAATTCACATTACCTCATAGACTATGTTGTGGCCAGAGCCTGTTACAGCAGTTGAGTCCCCCCTCTTAGTAACCCCTGCCTGGCAGGCCCTTGACATTTGGGGAATGTAGCTCACTTAAGCAGTGGTAGAACAACAGTTGGTTTCATGACCCACCTCCCTTTTTTTCATGGCAAGCTTAGACATTTTGAACTGCAGCATTTTGTATTTCAATGTGATGCTTAACATGTTTTGATTAGTTAGGTCTAGTTGAAATTTCCTGCCACTGTTGGTCTCCTATACTAGAAAATTGGGGTTATTAAAAGGACATAAGAATGGCATTGGTAGATAAGGAAACAGAGAGGGGAGAAGGAAGAAAAAGACAGGTTTTAGCTAGAGTTTGAAAGAAGAGCTGCAGAGTAAACATCAGTGTGAGATAAATCAGATTTGACTATGAAAGAATTTTTAAAACTGAATATTCTAGCTATACAAATCTCATTGGTTTGGAGATTAATAAACCATGGGAAATAGTTTCTGTTAATGTGTTTTTACATGGTACTTTTCAATTACCTGAAGGATATTCAATTGATCCAATTCCATTGAAGTTTAGCGTTCATCTACTGTTTATGAATTAAAGGATTTTGACTAGCTCATTGAGAGACTAGTCCATACTCGGATACAGTGGGGTCTTGACTTGAGAACTTAATCCGTATTGGAAGGCAGTTCTCAAGTCAGAAAGTCTCTAAGTCAAGTCTCCATTGACCTACAGTGCATTGAAAACCGATTAATCCCGTAACAGGCCGTTTTTGTTCCATTTTGGTTTTTTTCTGGTCTGTAAGTCAAATCTCAGTCTGCAAGTCAAACCTAAATTTTGCGGCCAGAGAAGTCTGTAACTCAAAAAGTCTGTAAGTCAAGCCGTCTGTAAGTCAAGGGTCCACTGTATCTTTTATAGGATGTTTTGTATCATCCAGATTATGTGACGCAGAAAAACGTAGTTCAAATGGAAACCCTATAGAAATAACAAAAAAGTGAATTTATCAATATTCTTGCTCCATGACATTTTTGCTTTGGATTAAATATGTACATGTATTGTTTTGATAAGGTAGCAAACATCTTATTGCAACTTGGGAGAGGACAATAGTTTGCCAAAAGGTAGTTTTTCCTGATGTGTTGAATTGTCAGATATCTGGTGACTTCTTCAGTAGCATCTGCATTCTAAACCTTCTGCAGAGAATGAATCCTAACTTTTGTGATAGTGACACATGGGCTGGAGCTGAAGATGTAAGGAAAAGAATTGGGGGAAAGATATTTGAGACTGAATCAAGAGATCTTACTACAATTTGCCTGTGATCATTTAGACTTTGCTTTCTCATGCTTACCTCTATGTATGATAAAAGTTTAGAAGATTCCTTAAGTTCAGCTTGTTCTTTACTCCTTCCTGTGTATCTCTCTGTGCTCATCAAGGCAAATGCTTGAGTCATGGGATCCAATGTCTATTTGAACTTTGTTTTCACTGATTTTGGATACTGAGCTTGCTAACCTAAGCATAAATATCCAGGGGTGAAGGAAATGTGACATTCAAATTACTAAAGCATTCTAGCAGTCTGGGCATTTATGGTACTTTGTAGTGTGATATGCATAGCATCTTAAAAAACAAAGACATCACCTTTACGACACAGGTCCGCATAGTCAAAGCGATGCTTCTTCCAGTTGTGATGTATGGAAGTGAGAGCTGGACCATAAAGAAAGCTCACCGCTGAAGAATTGATGCTTCTGAATTGTGCTGGAGGAGACTCTTAAGCGTCCCCTGGACTGTAAAGAGAACAAACCTATCCATTTTGAAAGAAATCAACCCTGAGTGCTCACTGAAAGAACAGATCCTGAAGCTGAGGCTCCAATACTTTGGCCATCTCATGAGAAGAGAAGACTCCCTGGAAAAGACCCTGATGTTGGGAAAGTGTGAAGGCAAGAGGAGAAGGGGATGACAGAGGATGTGACAGTTGGGCAGTGTCACCAAAGCTACCAACATGAATGAGGCAGTGGAAGACAGGGGGGCCTGGCGTGCTCTGTTTTATGGGGTCACGAAGAGTCGGACACAACTTAACGCCTAAACAGCAACAAGTGTGATATGGGAATAAGAAGTGGGAGCAAGAATGCAACTCAGGAACCAGGTCCTGATTTTGCCAAAGTAACATTTCATTATGAAAAGATGATGGAGGAATTGATCTGCTTTGGTCTGAATGATTATTGTAGTCTTCTTGTTTTGTAGGTTTGCAACAGTTAGATATGACCAGGGAGCAAAGAATATTAAAAACCAGTTCATGCATCTAACTAACTACAGTGTCAACAAGAAGAGTGGTGACTATGTCAGGTACTTCCGAGTTCTTTAGCCTTACATGCCAGTGGTGAAGTTCTCAAAGTCTTATTTTATTTTATTTATCTTCTTTACCTTTTTAAATTACGTACTTAATAGCTTGCCATTTTGGATAAGGCCCTTCACAGAGCTTTCAGAGGCGAATAATGGATTCAGTCTGCCAAAAAATAAAATAAAAACAAAGCTAGAATTAACAACAGAAACAGAAATTGAAAGAGTTACACCAAAGTTACAGAGGCCACCAGTGTGTAACCTATTTCTTTGGTTTTAGTTGTGATGACCCTGAAGTGGAAGATTATGGAAACAAGTGGAGTATGAGTGCAATGCTGAGATATCTGAAGCAAGAAGGGAAAGATACAACTGGTGAGTAGAGAACGTTTATTCCATTCCTTCTCTAAACACTTTGTATCACCAGCTCTAGTGGGGCTAATCATCCTCCTATGATTTTCTTACAGTTCCACCTGTTCAAATTATTCTCCCATTTATTGTAGAGCAAGGGATTCCCTTACCTCATTCCTGGCTGCATTTTTCCCTGATGTGCTTCTGCTTTCTCTCTGTTAAATGTTTTCTCCTTATACCTGCAACTGTCTTTCCTAGTAACACCCATGTGTTCTATAAAGTGAATGCCTTTTATCCTGGAATTCCATAATTTACCTTGCATTTAATTGGTTCCTTCAGAGCATGATGAATGAACAGTGCAAATTTCCATTTGGAAAGGACAGATTCTTGTTTGTTTGGTGGATGGGAGTTCTTGTGCATGGTCTTCTGCTCTTATATTACATATATTGGTATAATTTGCACAACCTGGTGATTACTTTGGGTTGTTTTTACTGTTAGTTGTGGTAGGTTGGAATTTTAAAATCAGTCATCTGGTTCCCAGGCACCCTCTACTGGAGAAGAGTAAACCTAGGAAATGCAATTTATTTCTTGTCTTTACTTTGGTAGGTTATCAAACCTTTTTCTCTCATCGTTTTTCTTTCCATCTTCTAAACAAACTCCCTGTATTTCTATTCTGTGTCTGCTTCCTGCTGCTATGGTTCTTTTAGAGCAAGAAGAGTACAGTCCTGGCCTTTCCAGCAACTCTGGCTACTGTAGGGGAATCTGTAAAAGGCCAGATGCCTCCATCCATTGCAAGGAGAACCGCAAACTCTCGCAGATTCTGTGCTCTCAGTGTCACAGCAAGTCCCACAAGAATTGAACTCATTGTGACACTAGCCTTCCAAGCCTTTTAGACATTGGAAGTCCACAAGGGAGGCATATCTAAGCAGCTAAGTAAGAACAAAGCAGCCCGAATTTCAGTTTTCTGAATCAGTGGTGCTTGTGCTCTCAATCTAGAATTTTTTTATTTGGTTAAGCAGATGGAGGTGAAGGATATTGATATGTTCATCAAAGCCACCAGTACATCAGGAAGAAAGAGAGAACACAGTTTGTGGGCAGGGGGAAAAGCCCATCATAGCATGAGCTGAATTCCCATCCTGGTGTGAATCTTAGTTCAGCCCAACAAATTTCCTCTTTGGTTCCTTTGTTCATTAAACATGATAAAACTGCATCACTTTGTATCTGTGGAAGCTTCTTTCAGTTGCGGAGTGTTACAGTAAATGGTGCAGTAGTAACTTGAACAGAATTTGGTCCCCTCTGGGAAAGATGCAGAAGCATTTAACCAGCCCTGGGACATGAGCTAAAGCTTTGGTATGTCCCAAGAAATGGTTGTTATGCTTTATTGTGGGAGAAAAATATACTGGAACTTAATAATCCATTCTCTATAGTAAAAGGAGGAAACCCTTCCCTGTCCAGTTAGAGTGATTAGGGTGCTGCTGAGTGTTTCGTAGAGGCTCTCAACAAATCTTGGTTTGTAGACTGTGTCCTCCTGTTCTTCATTGGTCTTCGTATGAGTGTTTTTGCGCCTGTGTTAAACCTTGCCAGAATGTTCTAGAGCTCAAAGAAAAAAAGACCATTAGCGCAGGCCCTTCCACGCTGTGCATGTCCCTGAGCCTAATGGTTAGCCCTCAGTTCCCTTCAGCTGCTACGGAGAGAACTTGGTCAAATCTGTCTCTAGAGCTAAATACTTACAACTTCCCTTTTTTGGTCCATTGTCGTTGTTCCTCCCCTTTGTCAATCCAGTATTTCATTCTCTGAGTCCTGATTTTGTAAAATAAATTATCTATTACCCCCTCACTGTTTGTCCCTGTCGAGACTTTCCTGCCATTTTTATGGCCATAATGGTCCCTTTCAAAAAATGTGTTGTATGCATGACTGACAGTCGTTCCAAGTGTCTATACTGCCTCGGTGAGGGACATCAATCATGTAGTTGCCAACTCTGCTCAAAATTTACTAAGGTTGCTATTAAAAACCAACAGTCCAGACTCCAATTCCACCTTTGGGAGAAGTCCCTGCGTGCTGTCAGCTCCCTGTCTCAGCAAGCTTCAGCTGTCCCATCTGTCTTGGTTTGCAAGACAGTACCTAGATAATCAATCATGGAGTTGACCTAAATGGAACCAGGCTTCATGGCCCAAGGTGAACAATGGGCAAATGAAATGGAAGCACAGGTAGTTGGAACTGGAATATGTTGTCTACCTTGAGACCACATTCTATGCAACCAACATCATCCTGTGCTTTGTCAGTACTAGGTCAACTCCTTCAATGTTGAAGAAGCATATGAAACCAACTGGATCAGATTCTATGCATACTAAAAAGCTAAAGACAGAATGAAAGGTCATTAAAAAGATAAGCCTTTGGCATCAAAAAAGGCTGTACAACAACCTCCAGCAAAACCCAAGCATACTGTATTGCTTACATACCTTCCCATGGTGCTTAAAGCACTCTGGGCAGTTTAGAATTTAATTATGCATGTTACACACACACACACACACACACCCATGAGCTGGGTACTAAGTTTACCAACCTCAGAAGTATGGAAAGCTGAGTTAACCTTGAGCCTGCTACCTGAGCCTGTTAGGATTGCCCTCAGGTCACGAGCAGAGTCATGACTGCAGTACTGCAATTTAATCACTGCAGTACGAGCTTATATGTTTTGGAAAGAAATTCTCCCTCAGGAACTGAGGTACTCTCTCTAGAGTAGACAGCAGTCCCAACAATCGCTGTCTGAATGTTTCCACTGTTTGTAAGAGGTGTATCTACCACAGGAACCTGCACAAATCTCCCCATCAACGTGAGGTCAAACAAGACCTGATGTATCTGCCTTGGTATTTCTATGGTTCTGTACTCAATTACTATTTGTGGCCTGACTGGCATTTCTCTCCACCCACATATGAATATCTTGGGTACTATAGAGAGAAACCTCCCAGCTCTGTACACAGAATGCTAATTTGTTCCCCAATACCATCATTCTGGTATCCAACACTGGGATCTCTGATGCACACTGGTGGTGACTCCATACTGAAATCCATGGAGCATGGGCAACCACAGAACTGGTGCTGGCTAAATGGAATAGACCAATTAGGCTGTCCACTTGCTACCCAAGTATGGCTCTGATTGCTCCGTATCAAGATCACCTTCAGCATGGTGACCTTGTAAAAGTCCTAAAGGAGTGGCAACTTGAGATGTTTTGCTCTCAGAAAACCAGTCACAGGATGTGAGGTCGAGTATTGACGCTGAGACATAGAGAGTGCTCTGTCTTCCATACTCCTTCTGTCTCCTTGAACCAGTCAGTTATGCAAAAGCAGCACCATTGTAGCTACTCACAATCCTATTTAAAATAAAAATCAGCTAAAGATGCACAAAGACATCATCCCACGCATTGATTTTGTACCCAGCTTTCGGCTTTGACATTGATTCTGGCATCCAAAACGTCCAGACATATCTCACAGTCTTAAGGATGATCTTCGGAATTGGAGCCTGATTTTACCCAGGAGCCTGAATACAAGCTTGATTGGAAATTCAAGGGGTGACTTCATATTTCCCCCCGCTAAAAGACCCTCAGCTATGTCCAAAATAAAATAAAAACCAAGGTCTATATCTTGTGGGCTTTTTCCTGTTTAATTGGTTATGATGGATAGAGTGCAGCTTGAGGATGGGGCTGGAATGTTTGGGTTGTCTTTACCCACTAGAGAATGCCTGGGACTCAGACAATTGGTTTAAAAATGCCTGCCTGTCAGTCAGAGTGGGAGGGACAAACTAAGCTAAAAATGTCCTCCTAGTGTAGAGAATGAAAATATTATAAGTGCCAACATACTTTTTTTCTGCAAAAGTCAGGTGATGCCTGCTCATATGTGTGTTTTCAACTGGCTTGTCCAGACCAAGGCATTGGCATTCCTGTGTACTTTGAAGTGTGAGATACAGAAATCAGCATACTATCTCTGCCATTTACTTCAAGAAAATGAAGATACAAACATTCGAATAAAAGCTCTCAGGCCATCTGTCCAATTGTATAATCAAAAGTACTTCAGAAAGAAAGAAAAACTTAAACTAAAGGTTGTTGTTGTTTAATCATTAAGTCGTGTCCGACTCTTCGTGATCCCATGGACCAGAGCACACCAGACCCCCCCGTCTTCCACTGCCTCCTGGAGTTTGGTCAAATTCATGTTGGTAGCTTCGGTGACATCATCCAACTGTCTCGTCCTCTTGTTGTCCCCTTCTCCTCTTGCCTTCACAGTTTCCCAACATCAGGGTTTTTTCCAGGGAGTCTTCTCTTCTCATGAGATGCCCAAAGTATTGGAGCCTCAGCTTCAGCATCTGTCCTTCCAGTTAGCACTCAGCGTTGATTTCTTTCAAAACGGGTAGATTTGTTCTCTTTACAGTCCAGGGGACTCTCAAGAGTCTCCTCCAGCACTGCAACTGAAATGCATCCATTCTTTGGCGGTCAGCTTTCTTTATAGTCCAGCTCTCACTTCCATTCATCGCTACTGGAAAAACCATAGCTTTGACTATGCAGACCTTTGTTGTCAAGGTGATGTCTCTGCTTTTAAAGATGTGTCGAGGTTTGTCATTGCTTTCCTCCCAAGTCTATGAGGGCTACTCCATTTCTTCTACGGGATTGTTGCCCACAATAGTAGATATGATAATCGTCTGAATTGAATAATACTCTTTTAGAAAAGATATAATACAGGAATATTCTCCTTTGGAATGAAACTGAGCAATTGTTTTATGATATTTTCAGTAAAAGACTTGTGGGGATTAGATTTAATTGCTTTGGGAACTATTTGGTTGTACTACTCTAGAAGAGGTAGAAGTGAAAATGAATCAGAAATAGAGTGATTTATTCTTTCATATAACACTTCAAAATTAGAGCATTGTTTTGATGATGATGATGATGATGATGATGATGATGATGATGATGATGATGATGATGATGATGATGATGATGATGATGATGATG